GACTGGGCAACATGGAGAAACCCTGTCCTACGAAAAATACAAAAATTAGCCAGGTGTGGTGGTGCAGGCCTGTAGTTCCAGCTACCTGGGAGGCTGAGGTGGGAGGATCACCTGAACCTGGGGGGATCAAGGCTGTAGTGAGCCGAGATCAGGCCATTGCACTCCAGCCTGGGCAACAGAGAAGAAAAAAAAAAAAAAAAAAAAAAAAAAAAAAAATTAACGTGGAATATATGTATATATATATATCTATTTTTTTTTGGAGAGTAGATCTTAAGACAGATGTGCTCACTTCTACTCCTGGGAGTGAACTGGCAATGGCAATCCCTTTAGAGCCTCGAGTGGGCAGTCTCAGGAGCGCCGCACAGTGAGTTTCCAGCTGAGCTATTCTCACCAAATCTCCCTCTGTTCTCACGGCACCCCTCTGTCAGGCCTGTCTCATAGTCACTGCCCACCAGGACTGACTACAAAAGATTTGACCCTAAAATAGTCTTGAAGGGATTTTTCTAAAAAAATTAAGGTGGGAACATGAGACAAAGCTGTCAGCCTAGTAACAAATCTGAGGACTCTTAACTGCATTAAAAATAAAACAGTGCAAAATCGATGGGAGCTGTGCAGTGCGAGTCTTGATCTGGAACACTTCCCCTGCTAACTCAGCTGGAAGGGCAACTATTTTAGATTTCAGTAAGGAAGAAACATCAGTTACCAATACTTGGCAGAGCCATATTATATATCCATATATATTTATATGTGTAAGTGGAGTTGAAGCAATTCTAGAATTTTCTAGCATGTGAAAACAGGGTTTGGTTCTTATGACATCTACTAAGGGACTTTACAAATTCAAAGTGAACCTTCTGTTTATAGGCCTATTTTGAAACAAAGTATCTTCATTTAATAAGATTTGACACTTTTTTTTTTTTTTTTGAGACAGGGTCTGACTCCTGTTGCCCAGGCTAGAGTGCAGTGCAGTGGCGCCATCATGGCTCACTGCAGCCTCGACCTCCTGGGCTCAAGCGATCCTCCCACTCAGCGCCCCATCCCACCCCATTCCCGCCCTCGCCGAGTAACCGGGACTACAGGTGCACACCACCATGCCTGGCTAATTCTTTTAGTATTTGTAGAGATGGGGTTTTACTATGCTTCCCAGGCTGGTCCTGAACTCCTGGGCTCCAGTGATCTGCCTGCCAAGGCCTCCCAAAGTGCTGAGCTTACAGGCGTGAGCCACTGTGCCCAGCCCCGCCACATTTTTTTTCAGTTGCTGAAAACCTTTTAAAAAGATGAAAACACATTATTTAGTACCTAAAGATAATATTTGTGCCAGACACAGTTCTCAATGCCTCAGATATTCATATTTAATCCTTATTATAATAACTGCTATTGTCCTAATTTTCTGGTTGTGGAACTAGACAGGGTCTAAGCAAACTCGCTCAAGGTCACATGGGGAGGTGATAAGAACTGAATGCAGGCAGTCCAAGTCCAGTGCTGACAGTGACCATGCACTTCAACCAGTTAAAAAATCTAAAGACAAATATTTTAAAACTGCAGAATCTGTCAGGTGCAACATGACATGCATGGCTGCTGTAATTTAAATGGGGCCCCCTTGTAATACCCCCTTACCTCCCACCACAATGTCCAGAACACCCCTACAGACACAGTAAGTTTGTAAACCTCTCACATAAAAGTTTAACTCCACCTTTCATATCTGTGTAAATTAAAGCCCACGGGGGCAAATTCACCTATTTGAGGTTATAAAACTACCCATATTCGAGGTTGTAAAACTACCCATGGCAAAGCTTGGACTGGCACGCAAGTCTTCTGCTTGCCCAGCGGGCCAGTACTGCTCCTGCCCCCAGACTTGCTTCTGTGAGAATCTGCTTTGTGAGCTGAGTCGCAGCAGAATGGAGGGGTGGTAAAGTTAGGGTTGTCTTCTGCTGTACCTTTAGATCCCGTCTCCTCAGCTTAGGTGGGTCTGCATGAACCTTTACAGAACAGCAGCAACGACAGATGGAAAAATAAGATGCATTCTATTATTCCCATCGTCCCATCCCAGGTTCGTGAGCTAGTGGGTACTGCGATCTGTGACTGCTTTCACCAAACACATGGAACATGTTCCTTGGAAGTGTACTCATGTAAAACTCACACCTTTTAGGCACTGATGCTTCCCTGTGGTGTGATATACTTATAGTATCATAGTGTGAAAACACGTGCCACTTCTTTTATAGCTCTCAAACTTGCTGGAATTTTGGCTCCAGTGGCGGCTCTTAAGATGCGCATTGTCTGTGATGTATGACTGTAGTGCCATTTCTGTTGCTTTGGGTCAAGGATTTTTTTTTTTTTTTTTTTTTTTTTGAGACGGAGTCTCGCTCTGTCGCCCAGGCTGGAGTGCAGTGGCACGATCTCAGCTCACTGCAAGCTCCGCCTCCCGGGTTTATGCCATTCTCCTGCCTCAGCCTTCTGAGTAGCTGTGACTATAGGCGCCCGCCACCACGCCTGGCTAATTTTTTGTATTTCTTTTAGTAGAGACGGGGTTTCACCGTGGTCTTGATCTCCTGACCTTGTTATCCGCCCGCCTCGGCCTCCCAAAGTGCTGGGATTACAGGCGTGAGCCACCGCGCCCTGCCTTTTTTTTTTTTTTTTTTTTTTAATTCCAGGGATCCTATTCACTTGTAGGACTGGCCACTGGTAACTGGTAGTGGGTTTCCTCTATGGGAAGCACATAAGGAGTGGCGATGCCAGCTGCGAACAGTTCCCGTTGACTGTACAATGGATGTTTTTGCCGTTGTTTCCTCTGTTGGGTGTCTCAATGCCTTAACTGTGGGTCCTATGCCTTTTATCAGTGTGTACCTCAGAGCCTGTTGGTTGGCTATCATTTGCCATTTTCTCAGACGAATGCTTTGTACCATTACACTAATTTGTTGATTTCATTTGCAGGCTTTACATTTGGGCCTTGTAGAAATGAATGTTTGCTGCTATGTGAAAGCAGATTGTGAGACCTGCTTTCCCTTCCCCCAGGGCGTGTTTTCCTTACTGTGTCCCTTTAATGTCTGTGGCACTGTCGCAGAGAGTTTAACATGATATAAATAAAGTGTTTCATTATTTTGGCTTTAAAAATGTATTTGTTGGGGGCTGAGTGTGAGAACTTACAGTAATTAGGCTAAGTAGTGTCTACATTCTATTCTGAATTCTAGTATTTTGGGGTTAGAGAGTCCTTTGAGAATTTGATGAAAACTAGGGCTAGTTTTCCTGGGAAAGGGCATCTGAACACAAATGGTTGAGTACGATTTCAGAAGAGTGAAGAAGCTCTGCTTTAATGTATGGCTTCTTAAAAAGAACAATCTCATGTTTAGTCAGCTCATCTCACACCTGTGATTGATTTATGACCACAGGTCCCGTGTACACAAGTAAAATGGGGCCCACACAAGTCCTGGTATCTAGTGCATCAATTATTTGGATAGATTTTCTGTAATCATTCTATCTGAGTTTGATTAGAATTATATCCTTTAGAGATGGGGAGAAAAGCAATTCATTCATTTGAAGTTATCTTAGTGCCAAGAGTCATATGAAAATGTCCCTTGCATGTGGGCAATGAAAGATTTGCAGACGATATAAAACCCAGACTACCTCATAAAAGAGTTTTGGGAATACACTGAGCTCTGAGTGAAAGAAGCTACAGTGGCCTCCCTGGAGATGGGGAGGGGCAAACCAGCTTAAAGGCCTTCATCGTGAGGAAGAGACGAAAATTGATATGCACGGTATTAGGCTTTGAAATGCAGACCACACTTCCTTTCACTGCAACTTTGACTTGTCCCACATCTCTACTTAAGGGCAGAAAAGGCCTCTCACTCACTCACCTCATTTGGAATGGAAGACGGAGATACTCTTTTGCCTGAAGCAACGGATGGATCTGTGACCTTCTAATCAACTCGGTGGCCTAAAGAAAAATCTTGGGTAACATTTTCACTTCAGTTTCCCTCTGGGATCATTGTAATCCATGAAAATAATTTTAAAGAGTTAAACTACTTTGAAGTTATGTGGTTAAAAACCACCTTCCTTTCTGTATCAATCCAACAATTTGGTAACTTTAAACACTGAAGGTAAAGTGAAGACAGATTCTCTTCAGATGGTCTCCCTAACTGCCCAGGCCTTGCGGATGTCTCACTCATGAGGGGCACCAATGTGGAAAGTTGAGGCTTCAGCTACTGATGAGCTTCACTGCTTTCCCCTGAGGTTTGTGCTTTGCAGAGAAGGGGAGGAGGGCACTGGGATTGTGTGGTCAGCTGTGTCTGCCAACAGATGCAGGTTAGGAACTAGGAACTGTGTTCAGTATCTTCCAATCAAGAAAGGGGAAATGCTGATGCCTATCCTCTTTGTTTAGGTAGAAAGTAAAATGTTACTGGACTTAAATGGACAACAAGGGGCTTTGCCTGTTAATTTACCATGGAGCAGGCTGGGAATCCAGGCACGGTGGCTCATATTTTGGGAGGCTAAGGTGGGCAGATCACTTGAGGTCAGGAGTTTGAAACCAGCCTGGCCAACATGGCAAAACCTCGTCTCTATTAAAAATACAAAAATTAGCCAGGCATGGTGGGGTGTGCTTGTAATCTCAGCTACTCAGGAGGCTGAGGCATGAGAATGGCTTGAACCTGGGAGGTGAAGGTTGCAGTGAGCCAAGATTGGGCCATTGCACTCCAGCCTGGGTGACAGAGTGAAACTCTGTCAAAAAAAAAAAAAAAAAAAAGGAAACTGGGTATAAGATCCCTCCCTTCGTGTCCACCTCTCATGCCATGTTGCCTTTGCCATTCCCTACAGCATCTGAAGGTCACACACTGAGAATTTACACATACACAAGGGTCCAGAGCTAAAAGTTAATTCTGTAAAAGTTAAATAAGACTTACTAGTTTAGAATAAAAGGCCCTCCCCAGTATTTTAAAAATAATTTTTGTTCTTTGGAAGATTAAGCATACCTTTGAACTGCTTTGTTATAGAATTCAGTACAGCAGAAGTCTGGCTAATTTTGTTTTTTAATGAGAAACATCTGAGTTGTACATATCACAAACAGCTTCAAGTTTCCGTACCAACCCCCACCCCCTCAACCCAAACCCCTGCCGTGGCCAAACGGTTAAAACCCAAAGCATCACTTTGGATGTGAAAAAGTCTTAGAAAATTTAACTTACAAAAACATCTCTATCAAGTCGGTAGTTTGGCATTTACTGTACATTAGTCAAAAGCTCCAGCTAAAATCTGATTTTTTAAAAAAATCGAAGTTTACATTATTCATACAGATTGGGCATTGTTAAAAAATATGCACAAATAACCACATCCATGCAATATAATTTCTTAAAAAATTTAAAGCAATATAAAAGAGCAGAGCTAGGTACTGAACAGAACATTTTGGTGTATAACTGGTAGCTCAAAATTGCCAGCTGATTGGAGTAAAACTGATTCTAAACATATTAAATGTGATTGTTTCCATCAGCTAAGGGTGCCTACGAGTTTCTGAACCATTTCTAGGGTGGAATGTGCTCGCTTGCTTCTATAATATACGTGAGGGACACCACTGCTCATTGACCATACCTACATTATAATAATGCTGTTTTACAAATAAACCAGAATTCACAAAGTGCTTGGCTCTTCAGGAAATTGACATTTCCAGAGATCCCTAAACCAATCAACTAGTTTTGCCAAAATACCCGGGGCAACTGCCGCACAGGTTCCCTGCCCCTGGGGAGGAACACGATTTGAAAGCTGCCCTGGGCTTTCAGAGAGCGTGCCGGGCAAGCCCAGAAGAAGGTGTCTGCATAGGTCCCCGGACCTTGCCAACACTAAGTCACTCAGATTGGTCTGGGGCCACGTGCTGGGCACCCTTAGCAATCAGGCAGGTGGTGTGGCCTGTGGCCAGCTACGTCCTCTATGTCGGGGGTGGCCCGTTGGTGTACCTCAGCATGGGGTAAAAAGACCGGGCAAAGTTGTTTGCCTGAGTGCAGCTGTAGTCTTCTTCGGAAGAGGGCAGAAGGCAGGCCAGGAGCAGCAGCAGCAGGAGCAGCAGCTGCAGGGGCAGGGCTGCCCGGATCACCCTCGAGAGGAAGGAGCGCTGTGGTCGTGTGCTGCCGGGGACCCTGCCAACAGAGGAGGTTGAGAGCCGATTGGGAGGCTCCACAGGCACGACCCACTCTAGTACCTGACCCCCCGCTTATGTAAGTAAGAAATCCAAGACCTGAGATTTAAATGGGGCCAACGGTTGGGGTTCAGTTTCAGAGGAGAAGACCAGCCCTTTCCAGACAAAACAAAACCAGATTTTTGCAAGGACCTTGATAGTGGCATTGGCAAGACTGAGGCAGTGGGAGTGTGGAGCAGGGGAAAGGACTGCTGTCACGGTAAAGCCCTGTTACCTGCTCTCTGTCTCCTCCTCGCCTTCTGTAGTTCTCGCTGCTCTGAACTGCTGGGTAAAGAAACTCCAGTTAGTAAGTTGAAGACAGTTTAGTCCTATCAATGATAACACAAAAAAATCCTCCCTTAAATTATATACCACCTTTATGTTGTGTTATAGCCAAACTTTGGAGACTAGAGTAATACAATTGAGATTAAATGTCACCTGAGGTAGGAAATAATTCAGTTCATCTACTCAAGAGTTTCAGGGTCAAGTTTGTTGATCTGTTTTTAATGGCAAAATCAGGAAAACCCTTTAGCAACACTAAGAGCTCTCGTTCACAACCTACGGTGCTCCCAAAGAAGAGTGACTAGAAGGCAGACTTTAAGTTCTTAAAAAGAATATTTTAATTAAAAAAAAAATTGAAGTAAGCCTCTCTATGGGTCAGCAGAGACCTGCGCTGTCCTGAAATGGCTAATGGGCTCTTGGAATCCAAAGTGTCCCTCAACTCAGTGACTTTTAAAAATAGCCAGTGAGGTTCTCACAGAAGGCAAGGGGCTGCTTACCTTTGCTCGGGGAGCTGGCACGGATGCCGTGGGAAGCTGGTCCCCTGAGTCTACCTCATCGAAGCTGGGCAGGGGTGGGGTTGGGTTCTGAAATTAAGACCCCAAAGGTTGAGTACAGAAATGTGTTTCACGCAGATTCTTCATGATACAGCTCACCCTCCCCCAGCTTAAATCAAACTTTTTTGTTTGTTTTAGACAGTCTCACTGTGTCACCCAGGCTGGAGTGCACTGGCACAATCACAGGTCACTGCAGCTTTGACCTCCCAAACTCAATCCTTCCACCTCAGCCTCCTGAGTAGCTGGAATTATAGGCATGCACCACCGCAACTGGTTTTGTATTTTCTTTGCAGAGATGGGGTTTCACCATGTTGCCCAGGCTGGTCTCAAACTCCTGGACTTAAGCGATCCACCTGCCTTGGCCTCCCAAAGTGCTGGGATTACAGGCATGAGCCACTGTGCCCAGTCTTAAATCTTTCCTGAAGGGGCTCTTCTATTGCTCTCACTCCCAACAACAACAGACAAAAAGGAATGTAAACAAGGAAAAGTCAACCCATATTAAAAACCAACCCATAGCACAGAGCTGGGGAGACTGAGTTTAGCAGCAGCAGTTCGAGTTGACGGTGAGCTCATCACAGGTCAGTGATGAGATCATGTGGCCACCAAGAGAGTCTAGTCTAGGCTGCTTAGGAGAAAATAGACCTGCCCTAAGTCTGGTGAGGCCACAGTCTGGGCATTCCCTTTGTTTTGAGTTGGATCCCACTTTAAAGTAGGCCAGGTGCGGTGGCTCATGCCTGTAATGCCAGAACTTTGGATTCCTTGAGGTCAGGAGTTCAAGACCAGCCTGGGCAGCATGGCAAGAACCCTTCTCTACAAAAAATACAAAAATTAGTCAATTTCTTTAAAAAAAAAAAATTTAAAAAATTGTCACCCCCTACCCCCTTTTAAAAATGACAAAACAGATTCAAAGAGCACATATAGCTCTTTAAGTCTGCACAGCTAGAAAAGGGCACGACATGAGGCCCCGCTCGGACCACCTGGCCCTTGCTTCTGGCCTCTGTCTTAGAGCATGGCTGCAACACTGCTGTCCTGTTTGCATGTAATATGGTAATCTTTACATTTAAAAGCTACAAGTAGACTCACCTGGGTTCCCTGCAAGGACATTAAATCTTGGGACACTTGCTCTCGTAACTGTTTGAGTTTCTTCTCAATAACATGCACCTTTTCTTCAGCTTCAATGTAGTCTTCTCCATGTCCCTTAATGAGAAGGCTGTTTGAAGTCTCCTGCAGCAAGTCCACTTGAGGCTGACGTTCTACCAGCTCCTTTTCCAGTTGCTGAAAACAGAAAAAGTGTGTGAAACACTGACTTGTCCAAAGGGAAGCGAGTGTGGACACAGGAGGTTTTTCTCAGTACCAGAAAAGTTCCAGACTCAATGATGGGTAGTACTCAACTCCAGAACCTTCTGTTGCTCGTATCTGCCTGTGTCCTCCAGCCCAGCACTATTTAGATAGCAAGTGGATTATACCCTGCCCGTATTTTTAATTTCTTTTCACTCTGAAGGCAATTGTGATGCTGGAGAAATTAGAGGAAAGAAGTGAGGCAAGTGGTGTGGCAAGACCAGGTCCCTCATCCACCACGGAAGGAAGTAAAGGGAAACTCTAAAGTCAATCACGCGAGAAACAGCAGCATAACCATAGAGGTTCACACCAGGCAAACGGGCTTTAATTGTTAAGGGTGGTTATCTTGCTTGCAATATGGCCACTAGACACATGTGGCTATTCATTTATTTATTTTTTTGAGATGAAGTCTCACTCTGTTACCCAGGCTGGAGTGCAGTGTCACGATCTGGGCTCGCTGCAACCTCCGCCTCCTGGGTTCAAGCGATTCTCATGCCTCAGCCTCGTAAGTAGCTGGGATCACGGGCGCCTGCCACCATGCCCAGCTATTTTTTTTTTTTGTATTTTTATTTTATTTTGTATTTTTAGTAGAGATAGGGTTTCACCATGCTGACCAGGCTGGTCTTGAGCTCCTGACCTCAAGCGATCTGCCCGTCTCAGGCTCCCAAAGTGCTGGGAGCCACCGTGCCTGGCCTACATGTGGCTATTTAAATTAACTAAAATTAAAAATTCAGTTTCAGTCACAATAGCCACATTTCAGGTGCTTTAAGCCACATGAGGTTACTAGACAGTGCAGATGCAGGTCATCTCTATCACTTCAGAAAGTTCTACTGGACGCCACTGCTCTAGAGACTGGGGCTTTGCAAACATTTTAGGAAAACTATATTTTTAAACAATGGCTAGCACTCTGATTATAATATTTAAACCACATACAGATTTATGGATGAAAATGTCACCTTGAGCACCAGTGAGAATAGAGAAATCCCATCTTGGTGTGTTAGTGACAAATGCATGAGGACATGACTCTCCTCCAAGAAGAACCATTTTTCCATAGCGGATACAGAAAACCCACCCAGCTCATCGCAGGTGTGGCGCAAATGAGCACCATATTTCTCCCCAGTGAGCAGGATTCACAAGAGAAAAAGACTTCCACTCAAATGGCCTTAAGTTTCTCAGGATATCGAGAGCACCTATGTCCTCAGTTCTGTGGACTGTGGCTCTCCATTCCTGCAAGTCATTTGGCTTCAGAACGATAAAGGGCTGCTCGGTAAGCACCAATTGGAGGAATACTAGGGCTGAACTCGTGCATTACAGGCAAACACCACTGGCACAGTTCCTGAAATACTAGGCGAGGCTACCTGAGTGTGCGGCCTCTCTGGGGATGACAGAGGCTGGTGGCAATACAGAGCTCCTGGGAGGAAACTTACCATTAGTTCCCTCCGACACTCCAGGAGAGCCTGGGGGTCGGCCTTCGGATCGGTGACATGAGCCTTCTGCCTCCGGTTCTCGGCACTCGCTAACCACAGCAGCAGATTTTGACTCAACTGGTGGAAGTCCTTAAAAAACAGCACACATCAGAGCGCTGCCATGTCTTAGAGTCCTGGAAGAGGGCATGCTAGGAACATGGCTTGCTGCTTCCAATCTATCTCAGTCATTTGCTTTTCTGGCCTTACCCAGTGAATACAAGGGCCAGCTTTAAACTAAATGCCAGGGCCCCAGAATGAGGCAGAGGAAAGAAGGCAGGCGCTCGGCACAGTGCCAGGAGGTAGCAAATGAAAATGCCACTATGAAGGCGGGGCTTCAGGATGCCCGGCTGATTTTACAGATGAAGGCCACACGCATTCCTCAGCCAATCTGCTGGGGTCCAGTGGTGGAGGGAAACAATCCAACAGGACAGGCTGGGGTGTGCTCACGTTCCCTGAGACACAGCCAGAGCTAGGCAGTGGTGCAGAGCTCACACCCGCTGTGCATTTACTGTGTCAGGTGCTGGGCTAGGATTACACACACTGCCTCATTTACTCCTAAAAAAGAACCTTAGGAGGTAGACACGGAATGATTCCCATTTTCAGATAAGAACACTGAGGTCTAGGAGGTTCAATGCTTTGCGCAAAGTCACATAGCTATTAAGCAATAACTGCTCCTCTGCTTCAAGGCCAGGTCTCTTAATCACCCTGGCAAAAGGACAAGAGGAGCTGTGGGGTAGCACCTCTAACCCACAGGTCACTTGCAGGAACCCTGACTCCAGGAGTGGCTCTGGGCCTGGGCAACAGCGAAGAGACCTGGAACAGGGAGTGGGTCTCTGAGATGGCCGGTGAGCCTCTGTGGAAACAAATGGTAAAGTGCATGTTTCCTGACACAAGCCACAGTTGGCTGCACCGAAGCAGCCTGACCATGATAAAAATATCTGCTGCTCCCACCACGTGGGCCTGGGCGCCTCTGGGAGGCTGGGTGCTGAGTCAGCGTACCTGGCACTGCATGAGCGACTGTCGTAAGCCCCCTCTCCAGCTGTCCACTGCGCCCTGTGCCGCTTCCCAGAGCAGGCTCAGCTGGCGGAGTCTACTTTGGAGCTCTGTGGATTCGGGGCTCTCGGTTTGCAGAAATTCCTTGCTGCTCACGTTGACAGAGACCACTAATGCCTTGTAGGTGTCAAAGGTTTTCAATATCTCCTACCACAGAGAGAAAAGATGAGGTTAGGAGCTCTGAAAGTAGGGAGGAGGGGCTCATTTTGAACCTCAGTAGGGTACAAATTTTCCACACAGTCTTCCAAGCTGCGGCCGCAGAAATGAGAGTGACCTCGCCTGTGACTGGCTGGGAAATATCCGGGGAGGGAGCTGCCTTAAGGTCCGTGAACTTGGCCAACAGGGCCCCAAAGCACAGGCCTGCTGGAGGGAGGAGACCCTGCTGACCTCTACAGGCCCTGCTCTGCAACTGGCTAATGTTTCTGGACCAGACTAAAGGTCTTTCAGATAAAGTATATGTGGTTATCCTGCATTTGCTCCTAGATATCCCAGAAATATTAATTCCTAATATATTAACACACATAGCAAAATAAAAGTACAAATATGAGGGTATCTGGATCCCCCAAAATCCCTGCCCTGGGTCTCAGGAGCTCAGGCTAATGCTCAGGGCACCCTTAAAGCACAGGGCTCAAACTGTCCCTTTGTAGCTCCCTGGGCTAGTTCCAGTGGGGTCAGGACTTATGTAGGTGACACATCCTAACTGCATAAAAGGGTAATGAGATCAGGCCATGGGATTCATCCATAGATGAGCTGGTCCTTTCCCAAGCCCTTTCAAGGAAGGTTCCACCACTAGTCCTTCCTTGCCACCTATGGAACTGAAATGGAAGAGAGTGACCTCTACATACACCCTCTGCGAGCTGCGCCTATGCCACTAATACACGTGATCTGTTCGTCCAGCATAGCAATGCATTCACATGCACACTCTGAATCACTCTTCCCCGCCACACCTCTAACTCACCTGCAGTCTCTTCACACTCAGTTCTATTTCCTGGATATCAGAGGGAGGCTTTGCCATCTTTAACATTTCCAGCTCTGCTTCAGTTTTTTTCAGCCAAGTGGTGATGGCGCTGATATCAGAGTTCAGCTGTTGCAAATTTTGTTTTATTTTGAGTTTATTGTGAAGCTCTTGTGCTTGAATCAGCGCCCATCTGTCAAAGGCACCTGGAATTAAAAAATCGCCAATTAAAAAAAGCAACAATGCAACAGATTTCTCTGCCTCCAGCTAATTAGGGGTCAGGGTGATTTAAAAAAAAAAATGTAGGGGATTGCCCTGACAGAAGGGTCAGGTTTTGGGAGTTCTCTCTTCTCCTGGAATGTGGAATAGCACATGATCTGAGGCCTACACTCCCAGAGGCTGGAATGAAGTGGAGGTCTATGTGCTACAGTTTCACGCTCAACAGGTCAGTTCATGCTGAATCTTTTCAGTTTTCTCCTTTGGTCCACAAATGACCAGGTCGATGCTGTCAGCTTTAGATTTAGTTGAGTAATTACTTTTATAATTACTGGGCTGGTCGAATGAAGAGACACTTGAGACAACACTGATCATCATCCTCACGTCTGATCTTTACATAGAAGTGTAGAAAGTGAAAACCTGCACTTCCCCCGGAGGCTTATTTTACCAGTATTTAAAGAATAGTTTTCAAATTACACTGAACAGCCTAGGAATTCGTTCATAAATGCCAATCGCTGATTTAAAAATAACATTGGCTGTTGTAGGGTAAGTCCCCCAGTTTTGGCAAATCATATAGTTGGTTAATATCTAATGAATGTTCTGTTAAGCAAGGACTTAAATACCATACTCTGGCTCTCTGGACAACTGCCAGGTATAGGCAGTACCTGACTGCTGCCCTGTGACACCGGCCAGTCTCCCGTCTTCCTGCTGTGGACTGCCATTCAAGACTCGCGGGCCTTCTTTGCCACCATCCGTGCCTGGCGGTAATAGCAGCTTTCCCTAGAACGAGCCAGTTTTTAAGTTACCATCTGTAGATATTAAGAATATCTGAAGAACAACTAGATTCATACTAACAGTGAAGAAATGAGACGGGCCCCCTTTCCTTTGACGGTGTCTTGCTAGGAATACAGTGGTGCTTTAGTGCCTAGGTAGCATTTATACGCTGGCAAAGCTAATGGCAGAAATAAAGCCTCAGCTAAGGCCCAGGGAGAGGGAAGCAGATGAGATGTCAGTGATGGGAAGAAAATGGCCTGTTTTAATTGGCATGCTTCCAATCACCCCTCAAATGAACCATGCGAAACAAATGAGAACAATGTGTTGAGCTTACCAGACTGTTACTGTGTTAGCACTTTTACATTTTCACAGTGTTTTACAGAATTTTAGTTATCCCTGTCACTCTGTAGAGGTGGTTGGCATCATTATCACTGAGAATCAGAAATGCACACAGGATGAATCTGCCTCCCAGGGGCATTCGTTACCAAGTGTTTATCTTTCACTACACATACTGACTTTTCTGTTATCACACAGCCGATTGGGCTGTTATCTCGAGCCTCTCCAAAAATAAATGTATCCCTTTTTAGAAAAGCCCTGCTTTCTTTGGATTGTGTCTGTATGGCCTATTTGTGCAGAATGAAAATAATAAAAAAACCTTCAGATTTGTGGTGATACATCTGGCTTCAGACACAACAAAAGGGTTGAGCTTTCGAAAGCGGCCAGGTGAGGAACAGGCGTAATCACAGTAAGGGATAGCCAAGCCACATGAGCAACGGATGTAAAGCAGAGGTCAGGGACTGCGGTCCTTCCCCCGTCTTATTATTCTTTATAGAAATGACACCTGCTTGTTAAGCAAGAGGAAGTGTTTCTGAATTGGACACAAACAGCCCATTATCAACTGACTTGGATTTGACCATGCAAAGGCAGAGTCTTCTCCAATGATGTAACAATATTCTCTCCTTAATTTCTCTCGCTGCTGCCCTAGGCTGCCCCTCCCAGGAGCTGTCTAGCCAAAGCATGCCAAGAACTCAAGTCAGCTGAGGAAAATGTAACTAAGAAGAAACAGCCACTGCTATAAACAACAAACCAATTCAGGAGTAATAATCATGACCATTACTTCTGAGGACCTTTTTTTTACCTTTACACACAATAATCTTAACAACAATTAGGTGAAATAGCTTTAGCCTCCGTTGAGAAAGGCTTTCAGAGGCAAGGCAAAGTGTCTCAGGTACAATGGCAATGGATTGGCGGGGCTAGGAATCAAATCCGTGTCCACTGCAGGACACCATCAAATCTGAAGTTATGATTTTTTGGAATAGGATGTATGGTCAAAAGGTTAACATAACAAAGGCTTGAAGGCCGGATGCACTGGCCCATGCCTGTAATCCCAGCACTTTGGGAGGCGGAGGCAGGTGGATCACTTGAGGTCACGAGTTCGAGACCAGCCTGGCCAACATGGTGAAATTCCATCTCTACTAAAAATACAAAAATTAGCCAGGCATGGTGGTGCACACCTGTAATCCCAGCTACTTGGGAGGCTGAGGCAGGAAAATCTCTTGAACCCAGGAGGCAGAGGTTGCAGTGAGCCAAGATAGTGCCAGTGCATTCCAGCCTGGGTGACAGAATGAGACTCTGTCTCAACAAAAACAAAAACAAACAAACAAACAAAACAGACAACAAAAAGACAAAGCCTTGAGAGCTCAGGAGAGGTCAGGAAAGCCAGCACCTTGCTTGCTCACTATTTGCACAGACACCTGACTCGACAGTAATAATGACTGTTACACCACACCAACATACACGAAGATGGTTTTTGGCCAGAAACCTCTCTCTAAATCTAATCGGTTTTGCCAGGGTTCTAACGAAGTATGGACAGCTCGACATAAGAAAACCAACTCAGCCAGGCGCGGTGGCTCAAGCCTGTAATCCCAGCACTTTGGGAGGCCGAGACGGGCGGATCACGAGGTCAGGAGATCGAGACCATCCTGGCTAACACGGTGAAACCCCGTCTCTACTGAAAAAGACAAAAAAACTAGCTGGGCGAGGTGGCGGGTGCCTGTAGTCCCAGCTACTCGGGAGGCTGAGGCAGGAGAATGGCGTGAACCCGGGAGGCGGAGCTTGCAGTGAGCTGAGATCCGGCCATTGCACTCCAGCCTGGGCGGCAGAGCAAGACTCCGTCTCAAAAAAAAAAAAAGAAAACCAACTCAAAATATGCCTGGGGAGTGAACACATGCAGTTTACACCAAAATCTCTCTTGCAAATGTAACTATGACTCACACGTAGCTGTACTCCCAGTGGAGCTAAGACTTACGTAGGGTGGTTTATAAGGGGTGCTGGATGCGGGGGGAACAGGTGGAACATTCCTGTCACCTTCCATTTGCTTGTAGTGATGCTCGGGACAGGAAGGGCTGTCAGGAACATGCCACGAGTGGCCATCCGAAATGGATTTACCTGAAACAAAAGACAGCAAGCGATAGTCCATTCTCTCCAACCGAACAGGTCACAGGTGACATGGCATCAGGTTACAGTATGAAAATGAGTTCTGCAGCTTTCCTTGCAAAGCATGCATGTTTGCAAAATGTCAGTATGTCCCAGAAGAGAATGAGATGAGAGTCATGCAACTCAGCAACATTGTGCCTTCACTAGATGGGTACACAATGGAGCACGACCAACATGATTTGCTGTGGGATGAGTGGCGTTTTGGAGCCAGGGTCTCGCGTGGTAGGGACATTGAGCGGCAAGGTCGGGTCTGGGAACCAAGAGGGCAGAAGGCCTCTCAGGAGTGAGGGGAAGAGTGAATGTCAAGATGGACTTGGGAACCAAAAGGCTCCTCAGGGCTCTCCCCGACCCACCATGGCAGATGGGGATGGGGCTAAGGATGAAGATTAGAGCTGCAAATCAAGGAAAGGAAGGTTTTATTTCTCCTGTGGCAAATCACCAGCACCTTTACCCCCCACCCCCAACCCACCTCTTTCCACCAGGGGATCCCAGTAAAGCAAGGAAACAGTTCCAAACCAAGCCACCATGAAGAAAGCTTGGCCCATGCCAAAGGACTTCAGTTAGATGGAGAAAAAAATCATCAAAAAAGGCACCACGAAAAAGTCCCTCTCCACAGGCCTGAAGGGAGGAGAGGGCTGGCATCGAGACGGCTCTGGCTTGGATGGGGTTTTGTAAGGAGCACGCAGTTATGGGTGAGTATGGCAGTGTAAATACACCATGACACAAGGACCAAGGCGCATGGTGTCCACAGAAGGCAGAGGCAGACACGACATGGGAGCGAGGTTGAGGATGCAGTGTGCCCACAGGATGCTGCCATGTTGAGACATGCATGGGCGGGGGCCTACCAGAAGACGCTTTCAAAGTTTTTGTGGTCATTTTAAGATATGCCTCAGGATTTTCAGGGATTTCTACATCTGAAAAAGAACAATGTCATTTGCCTCACTGGAGGTGCCTGAAGATTAATGCCCAAGTATTAAGTCAACACACAGTAGAAACATTGTCAGCTGAGAGGAGAAAACTACCCTTTATTTTTTTAATTAAAAGGATTTTGAAAACCAGAAAGTTTTTTTTTTTCCAGCCAACTCCTGACTGTCCAAAGCAGGACACTGGGTATCAAAAGGAGCAGCTCAGTCTGTGACACTGAGACACTCAACTGAAAGGGAGGGTGGGCACGGTGGCTCATGCTTGCAATCTCAGCACTTTGGGAGGCGGAGGTGGGAGGACTTATTGAGCCCAGCTGTTCAAGACCAGCTCTGGCAACATAGCAAGACCTTGTCTTTACAAAAAATTTGAAAACCAGCTGGGTGTGGTGGCGTGTACCTATAGTCCCGGCTACTCAGGAGGCTGAGGTGGGAGGACTGCTTGAGCCCTGGAGGTTGAGACTGCAATGAGCCGTGGTCGCACCACTGTACCTTAGCCTGGTTGACAGTGTGAGACCCTGTATCCAAAATAAAATAAAATAAAATAAAATAAAATAAAATAAAATAAAATAAAAAAAATCACTGATGAGTCTCCCAGACAGCCAGAGCCATCACTGAGTAACCTTGGTGTCTGATTGTGAATTTCATTTTTTTCCCCTTTCATTCCACCTGTGATGAGAGTGGTCAATTCTCAGGTAGTTAGAGATGGGCAGGATAGAACACAGGAAACCACAGAAGTCAGGGTTGGCTACAAGCTGGACTCTTGGTCATCGAGAGCTGGCCGTGTTGTTAAGGGCTAAAAACACAGCCAAACAGGTCACTTTCCAGGGCGCTGGGAACCCAGCTGTTACCTGACAGTGCGCTGTAGTATGGACCCTCCTCGTCCTCTTCATGAGAGGAGGAGCCCCCCACGTCGCCTGTGTGGTCCCACTCCAAGGGGATGGAGTCCACGCTGACAGGGGTCTCGCAGCCAGACCGCTCGTGCCCTGGGGCCACTAGATGACACAGGGACTGAGGAGATGACGGTTCCTCGCTCTCTCCCCTTTTACGCCAAGAATCAGTCTGGATCTCTCTGTGGTCTTCCATGTCCGTTTCATTCTCAGAGGCCTCCTTTTCATCTTCCAAACCCTAAACCAAAGTATCCAGTTGTTAATCAACTCATAGGCTTCTACAATTAGAAGAGCATGAGAAGTCTGCCTGTCCAGCAGTTTCCAAAAATAACTGCCAGTAGTATTCGTAAGGCAGTTTTAAACAGATCAGGTTCCCAGGTCCTGTTTCTGGTTATTCCAGTTTAGACAATCGGGAGAGGGGCCTAGAATCCATATCTTCCCAAACCTCCAGCTCTTTTTTCTTAGGAAAAAAAAAAGCTGAAGTTTGATAATCTAAGTTAAACAACTTTATCTAGGAGATAAGGAAATGGTGGCCAAAGTTTCATTGATGGTTACTAGCAGGTCCTCCAAGAATCAGAGCATTTTTGAAAAGGACATTTGAATGTTCTGGGTAAGACTCAAACTTCCAGAACCATATGCACCAGGTTTTCTTACCCGCCAACTTAACTGCTCAGTGTCTATATTCTATTCTGCTTGTGTCATAATGTCTCTTTCAGTCTAAGAAAAACAACTCTAAGTGGCTGCACTTAATAATGAGAAATTGTAGGGTAATTTTTGAGGCTGTGTCTGATGAAATAACTACACATGAATGAGGTCAGTTGGAGACACAAAAAAAGAAAGAGTGGCCAGTTGTATTGGTCAATGGTTGTCATTCAAGCTTCAGACACACAAAGGCAGTAAACTTTTAACAGTGGCCTGAACTCCACCTGAACTTCCCAAAAGGGCCTTTCGTCTGGGGAAACATCAAAGTTGCTTTTGAAACTGTTGTGTTTTCTCTTCCAAGGTGAGAACAAAGCATCAGAAAGGCACAAATACTAAAAGCTTCCAGTCACTAAGAAACAGGGAAGGGCAAATACATTCCCGAGTTACCAATGTAATAAAAGCCAGAAGAGGTCTTCAGGAATTCTAGGGGTAGTGACACCTGCCAGACAAGCCCGGCCCTGAGGAACACTTAAAACCGACTCGCAGAGCATGCGCCTCAGAAGTGCCATGCTTTCCACTGGGGAATAGGAACCTGTGAGTCATTGTGGCTCTATATTAATAAAAGTGGAAATTAAAATGTTTCGATATAGCCTTTTCTTTTCAACCAAAAAATAAACCATAACTAACCACTCTAAGATAGGTCTCCTAATTCTTTAAAAATTCGGTCTCACGTAAACTGAGCAGCCCAGGTGCCGTTTCTAGGTGGCAGTGCCCGTACCGGAGTGCAGGAGGTGAGCCGCCGGTGGAACCGGGAGACCCTTCCGAACACCTCCTGGCAGTAGCGGTGGAGCTCCTCCAGCTCATCCTCAATCAGCACGGCATCCAGGGGCTCGCTCTTTTGAATCAGCTGCTCCCCAAACACAATGAGCTGATCAATCTTGTTGGTATTTAATGTAATTTCCTGTTGGAAGCCCTGTTGAGAGAAAAGAAAGAAAGGATTTCAAAGAAAGTTCCCCTGAGCTTCCAGTGCCTGTTTCTTCTAACGGGGCCATAGAAAAGCATCCAAATGTCAGTATTTTGTTCCTTCACCTAGTACTCTAGCTTTAGTTTTTAACCAAGTGACAATGACACTGTAGGAATTTAAAATGACTGTCCATATTCCCCCTCCTTATGGGCACTGGCTTTTCCAATTAAAATAATTCTAAAAATTTGACACGGGTGGACATTTACCGTTACTGGGTGTGAGAGAAAGACCTTGCCATGGCAAAACTTGGTGGGAACAGAACATTTCCCATAATAAGCCACAAATGGGCATTTGCGTTTGCTGACACAATAATATTCACTGGTGCCATTATGCTAGGGAAGGCAAATTTCCATTTCTCAACCTCTTCCAAAATCTAGCCAAGGAGAGAATTACAGTGAGATTAGCCTGTCATGCAGATATCAGAAACAGTGGGAGAGTGGACCTCTGTTCTCGGCCCCACTGGTGACACCAATACTCCTCGACCGTAAAGAACAATGTCCTTGCACGTGATAATCTGGTAGTACACAGGTGGGATGTAGCCTGGCTGCTTTAAGAATTCTGAAGTTTGCTCTCAGGAGTATCGGGTGAAATTTGCACTTGGCCAGCTCTCCCCGCAAAGGTGCGTTCTTTTGAGAAGAGCTAGGGAAGCGGCCCTCACATTCAGCTGGCGCATCTTGTCATCGGCGTCGCTCTCTGAGAAGTGCTCCACGTTGGTCAGCTGCAGGTCCATCTCTGTGAGCCACACCAGAATGCTCTCCCTGGTGCCCTCGAATTCTTCCCTCTGGTTGGTGAAATGCTGCAGAAGCGGGGAGGAAATCACATTTGTACTGACCACAGAACAAGAGTTCAGACAGACAGCAAGGTCACCTTTGGCCACAAGAAAACGGTACCCAGAATACGCAGGGAGAAATCTGCCTCTCGGATACCCAGAAAGCCCCAGAAGCACTGTGTTCAGAAGACTGGGGTCTGGTCCTGGTTCTATGTACCAAACAAGCCCCCTGAACTTCTCTGAGCCCCAGCGTCTACGCTGGCAAGTCGGGGAGAGAGTGGGAATGTTGATTATGGTCTCCAAGGTCCTTAAGTATTTGAAATTCTAAAATTATCTAGTCCAAATCAGTGATTTTCCTCTGTCCTTTGAAGAGCTCCCTGAGGGGCCGGGCCAGGCCTTCTGCCTGTTTCACGCATTAGCCTTTGGCAGCTTTTGCTTGACAAGGATTTAGTAGCTTCAAGATGGAAAAGCCCTGATCTCAGGATTGAGGCCAGCCTGGTGCCCCTTTCTGCCCTCACTGATAGAATTCTGAACGTGTTCTCTCAGAGAAAGAAGACCCAGAGCAGATTTATCATCTTCAATTAAGGATACCTCTCAGGTTATCACTTCACAAATAGGCAGCTGATGTTCAGATTGGTAGAGCTTCAGTGCCAAACGAAGGCAGATTAGCCACAGCCAAATCGGCAGGAGATAATTAATGCATGGTGGCTCACACCTGCAATCCTAGCACTTTGAGAGGCCAAGGTGGAAGATTACTTGAGGCCAGGAGTTTGAGACCAGCCTGGGCAACATAGTGAGACCCCCATTTCCACAAAAATTAAAATCAGCCAGGCACGGTGATGCATGCCGGTAATCCTAGTTACTCAGGAGACTGAGGCAGGAGGATCCCTTGAGCCTAGGAGTTTGAGGCTGCAGTGAGCTATGATCTCAGCACTGCACTCCAGCCTGGGAAACAGAGTGAGACCTTGTCAAGAAAGAAGAAAGAGGGCCAGGCGCGGTGGCTTACGCCTGTAATCCCAGCACTTTGGGAGGCTGAGGCAGGCGGATCATGAGGTCAGGAGATCGAGACCATCCTGGCCAACATGGTGAA